CTCAAAAATAAAAGTCAAAAGTACGTATGAAATTTAAGCGCCAACATATAGAGGAATGGTGTATTTACCTTCTCTCAAAATTCCAGCTCAAAATATTGAGCCGTTTGAACGTGAAAGCCAAAAATGCTTATCCGGACACGTAACCCTTTTAAGATTTCGGGGCAGTTTTTTCGTTGGGTGACCTGATAATCGATTCCCGTTCCTTGAGAGGTCTATATAGTGAATGACCCATGTGCTCTATTTGATAACGAAAGGTAAATTTCACCTACACATTATTTTTATAAAATAAAAGTCTGGTTTTATCCAGACACCGCATAATACAACTTGGGACACCGGTCTCCATTTCCATATGAAGACTGACAGGTTTAAGTTGTTTGAAAACTTATCACAAATATTGAGTTAGTTGCTAGAGGATTTTAAGGGATTTTAACACAAAATTAAGCAGTTTTATTCTCCAATAAATATCGGGATTAGCCCTTTAAAGGAGCATTAGATAAAGAGTTGACAGTTTTCGCTATAATAGTTTTAAAAAATAGATAACGTAAATAGAATTATGCTGAAAATTTCAGTCAACTTGCTCCACTCTGAACCGATATATTATCTTTTGTATTTTAGGCTAGCCTCGACCATCATTACTAAAGTTGGTACGATGAAAAACATAGTCTCAATTATAGGTTTTAACGTTTAATTATTTTGCAAAAAATCTATTCCAATCCGCTAAATTTCACAGGCTAGCGATGACATCGAGAGTTGATTGTGGCCTGGATAAGTTAATTAATGTCTAATTAATAATTTAGATAACATTTCAGGCCTAAAAGAAGACCTGCAATATGCAAGAGCTAAATCTGCTTATTGTAGGTCTTTTTTAGGCCTGAAATGTTATATAAACCATTAATTAGACATTAAAGATGGTTTCCCAGAAAAGTATTTATCGGGTGGTTATTTCCAATAAAAGTATGGCAATTTTGGTATATATGGAAAGTAGAGATATCCAATCTTACTAGAAAAATACTGGATTATCCGAAAAACACTCATGGAGCGTATACAGGACAAAAATGTAAGGGTTCCCCTAATCAACAGCCCGACGATTAAGAGTTTCTGCACGCGTAATGTCAAAGGTCACACGCGAGCATTGAGCGCTTGATGTACAAGTTGATAAACTTTATGAAGAGTTAGACGTACAACACTTTCTGAGATAAAAATGACAGAAAAAGACGCGGGTAGTGGATAATCCGAGAATTTAATTAGGATTCGATATTTGTAATAAATAGTAAGCAATTAAAGACAACATCGTCTTATGTATGCAATGAATTCTCCTCTGATTTCCAAGACGTGACGTAAACATGACCTGGTTTGATCGAATTTTAATAGCAGGGCATTCCTTCGCAATTACAATGTTTGAGAAGGATTTGAAGCATAATTATGAAAATTAATTAGTTTGAATATGTTTTTAGTCCATATATACCATTAAATCACCCAGTTTGTACGCGGGAACCCATCTTTAATTAACGTATCCAGACCATAATCAACTCTCGATGTCAACGCTAGCCTGCGATAATTGTTGGATTTTGATCCGATTTGCTGCATAACTTTCCTTCTCAATTTAACGAATAAATGGATAATCGAGACTGTGATTTTTGTCGTACCGATTTTAGTAATGATGACCGAGGCTAGGCGGAACTTTTGATCGCTTATTTCTAGGTTCATAGTGGGTCAATTTGATTGAAATTTTCAGCAAATTCCCTTTACTTTATTTAGTTTTTAACTAGTATACCGAGAACCGCCAACTTGTTATCTAATCTCCCATAATGTATGTTTAATTGACCTTTATGTTTGATAAGTCTATATAAAAGTCAAACCGGTGCCACGTGGTATCATGTCTGTCTATCTCGGGTTAAATTTGTCTTTATTTATTGAACTAACTAGACGAACCACTTCTCCAATCTGCACATGTATTTACAAGTGATGTTTATGGATAAATTTTTAATCAGTTTCAAGCTACCATATTGTGAATGTTTAATCTCTACAAAAGGAGAGAGAGAGAGAGAGAGAGAGAGAGAGAGATGGGGTTTAACGTCCACTCGACACAAACTAGGTCATTTCGGGACTAACATACGGTTTAATTTTATTTCAATAATTCGCTTGCGCGTAGGGGTCTTTAGCAGTAGGAGGAAACTGGAGGACCCGGAGAAAACCCACGAGGCTGGACAGGCGACCCTACTCCTTGTCACGTACAACCGGTGATTCGAAACCACGCCAGTTGACCCAATGACAGGCCTTGTGACACAGCACGCACGTCGTAACCATTCGGTTATCCACCCCCCTCCCCCCTCTACAAAAGGAATACCGACCCAAAATGGTCCAATTCTGAAACGTGAAAATATAAACGTGATGTCAAAACTACCAAGGAACCACATATGGATCTTTTTGTTAAGTCTTTATTAAATCCAATCTGGTAGATGATATACCGATGATATTTTTATTTGTTAAATAATCAATTTTAGCGTGAATTAAGCCAGGGATAATTAGAAATTAAATGGGGTTTAACGTCCTACTTTTCTACACTGATTGGGCTATTGAAATGAAATGAAAAGATATGAAATGGGGTTTAACGTCCTACTGTTCTACTCCGACTGGGCTAATGAAGACCGGCATACGCCATACAGTGTGCTATGAGGGAAATTTTGTCCGGACAGGGATGTTATATGCGTACGCCAATGTGTACACGGGACCTCGGTTTTTCGTCCAATCTGAACGACTAGACAACTGTCCTCATCCTGAACCACTGAGGAACTGTCTCGGCCATCACCGCGACCGCCAGGCTAACAAGCCACGGTGGCTCCGATGGGGCTAATTATCTGAAAAATTGAAATGACGACCCGCGGTTTTAATTTAGTTCTAACTTCCACGTTATCACTTTGACAATCTAAAACTAACGATGGGCTTCCAAGTCGCCGAATTCCAACCGTTGAGTGTTCTTTTACGTCCCATCCAAACGACTAGAGACGCTGTTCGGTGTCATTCAGCCCCCCCCCCCCACACACACACACACACACACTGCACGCCTGACAGGTGTAAACAAAATGGTAAATTTCCCGGAAGATTATCGAGAAACGCCAGCAACATGCTCAGTGGCAAGCCGTTGCCCCCACACCCAACCGTTCCTACTAACTGATATATAATTACCAAACCAATAGACATGTCAAAATTACAACTATATAGACTAATTAGATAAACTTTTCATTTCTCTGCTGGAAAACATTAAAAACGACGGATCCGAATGATTAGGTACAATAATTAAATACAAAAGTGATAAAATATGTATTTACCTGTAAAACGTGTTTAATCCTTGGATGTTAGGTATTGATATAGATACTGCAGATACTCGAGGATGACTAAACACCTGTGTTTAGTGACGTCATATATCGGTCATGGTTGAATGATTGTGTTTATTTATACACCTGTACTTACCAAACATGGTTGTATGCATAGACTGGGCGGATCCCGTGAATTGACATTATAAATAGAACAATGGGCGGGTCTCTGTATAAGTGGTAAGTTTGAGCATTAAAAAACATTCATACCAGTGAATGAACACAGAACTTGGTATTTCTATACAAGTAGACCTTTAAAGTGTAAAACATCTCACCGAAATATATATGTCCGCCCCAGTGGTGTATAGTCTGGGAGGCTGGAAGGCTGGGATGGGCGGACGGACACAGTGTCCCTCAACAATTGACAATCGAAGCGTAAAAAACCTCAAGGAAGTATATTTGTCCACCCCAGTGGTTTTTGGGCAGAGAGGCTGGTGGGGGGGGCGGACGCAGTGCCCCTCAATACTCAACAATTAACGCGTAGAAAACCTCAAGGAAATGTAAATGTCCGTCCCAGTGGTCTATTGGCTGGGAGCGGGAGGCGGGCCGACAATTAAAGCGTACAAAACCTCAACGTCCCTATCGTGTATGGACTGGGAGAAGCACATTCGTTGCCGCTAGCTCTCCAACCCAAGCCAAAATATTCGGGCGATAAAACAGCAGACAGGACAGTCACCGAAATTCGGGCAATCAGTGCATTTCTATCTATTCTATTGAATACCTTGTGAACATTTTAAAAATCAAGAATTCTTAAGACTAATATTCGAATTTACACTATCAAGAATTTCACTCTTATTATTAATATTCATATTCGACGAAAAAAGAAAAAATAGCATTCGTGCCCCCCCCCCCCTTCTGTTTATATTGTGTAATCGAAATTAACTCAGTGGAAAGAATTTGGCTGTTTGGGTGAGAGGAGTTGTCTGGATGACCAATACCTTTATATTAAGCTGATATGATGTTTCTAGGTACCGCCTTTAACATGACCTTTATATATATATATAGTATGACAAGATTTTCGTGGTCAGCTATAACGTTTAACGTTGACATTTTCTCAAAAGGCAAAGAAAGAGTGCTAATTTATTTGCTAAGGTACAATTAATTTTGAAAATGAGTCTAGTATTTGTCCGATACGAACAGCTGAAACTCGTTTTTCTTGTTGTCTAAATGGGCGTTATTGTGCAAATCAAATGGTAAGACGACACAGGAACAATGTTGCTTACTAAATTGATCGCCATTTCAAACAAAAATCTCGTTTAATCCCACATCAACTGGGGCATTGCTGCATAAACGGCGAGGTGTGGGAGCGTTGGGGTAGGAGGGGATGATAAAAGAGAGAAATAAATTGGGTTTAACGTCCACTCGACACAAACTAGGTCATTTCGGGACTAACATGTGGATCACTTTTATTTGAATAATTCGCTTGCGCGTAGGGGTCTTTTGCAGTGGGGGAAAACCGGACGACCCGGAGAAAATCCACCAGGTTGGACAGGCGACCCTACTCCTTGTCACGTACAACCGGGAAATCGAAACCACACCAGTTGACTCAATGACACACCTTATGATACAGCGCGCACACGCTAACAATTCGGACACCCACTCCAGTGGGGATGATAAGAATCGAACTTAAAATCAAAGTAAATTTATTAAATGCCAGCATCATAGACGCCAAATACAGAGACGAAATTGTATACATATAAAATAAACAAAAACACTTATTAAGATAGTATTAACAAAACATAATAGTGTGAGCAGAAGACGTTGTTAATAAAAGCTGTGAATATTTACACTACGAATTGACATTCTCTATTTTACATGCTTACGTCGGTAGGTTGAATGGATCGTCAGAAACAATAATGTCCAAATCATTTTATATAGGCAATTTTGCAAGTTACTTTATCCTTGTCAAAAACGATAAATTGCATATACTAATCTTATCTTGGAGGAAATACAGATTAAACTAACTAGAATTCGTTATAAGAATCAACAACTATTCATTAATGTACCATCAAAAAGTAAAATCTTTAGTGTCCTGCATATTTGTCAAATCTTAGACGTTACAATCTTCAGAAATTCCATTCTGTGCCCTATCTTGTTATTCTCTCTCTAGTATTGAGCTACTTGTGTAATGCCGTTTGGCGTGTGTTGAGCACCTATGTCCTTTTAGTAAATCAGTAACGAAATGTTTTTATATGGTATATTCAAGTAATGTAGCGAATTTTGTTTTATCTCCACCGAAGTTGGCATTGAGGCAGACTTTGGCTCCTTTAGCGCGGTATTTGTCTAGATTCAACTGCCCAACCCATAATCCTTGACCATCTTTTTGTAGGTGGGTCCAATCGCCGTCAACGGTTGCAGCCACGGCAGCGGCATTAGGTACGCTAAGTTTTACAGGTACGTTGGATAAATCCATTGATTGATTAAGAACAATTGGATCGTAAAGGTAGCATCCATCTTTCCATGGAGCGTATTGTTTCGGGAAAGGTGTTGGTGCTTTAGGTGAACCTGTATTATTAATGAGATAATTGAAGACGCCTGGTAATGTTTTACTATCATCGTCACAAGGCAGAGCGTAGATCTGTAGCTTGTAATAACCTGTATCAGGCATCGTCGCTATTAATGCACTGATATCCCCCTGAAAAATAGAACGTAAAGAGGCATTAGCGTTTTTGAGATCGCCGTCGGTTTTGAACAAATGATTTTCGATTTGAAGGAACTTGACTCGAGGATGTTCAAATGTCTTATTTCTGCAAAATTTGAGTCGAATAATTTAGTGGCCGGTATTATGATATTATTATAAACTGTTAATATTTATTTTACTGATGAAAATGTCTCTTTAACATGGCTGTTAAACAACATTGATTAAAGAGTGGAAAGGAAGTGAAATGGGATGTAACGTCTCACCCTCCCACACCAAACGGGATAATGAGGAAGGTAGAAAGAAAAGAAAACAATGTTTAGCGCAGGCCCTACATAATACTTGATTCCTTTTGTATTTAAGGCTAACATACGGTCAGCTATACTACTATGTGTAGATTTCAAGACGAACTAGTTTGGAGGGAGGGGGGGGTAGTTAAAAAGTTACATCACCGGGATCTTGGCCAAATGGTCCAAGGTAATACGGCCTATTAAAGGATTTGTTTCAGTCAAGGTTCCCACTAGGGTGGAATAGCGCCTGTGGGACTGACCAAAAACTGTTCCTAGTCATTTGGATGGGGCGACAAACCCCTGTATACATCACATGGCACATGGGTAGGTGAGATGTCAATTTTCACATAAACATACTCCTTACAATAAACACGTGACCATACGAAATAACCATATGTTAGTGTCAAAATGACCAAAAATAAGAAAAGCATTGTGTTGTCGAGACCATAAACCCCACTCACGAACTTTGTCACGAACTTCGACCTTTAAAAGAGGCAGGAAGGTTTGGAAAATTCCAATGGTGCTTGTTGTTCCATGCAAGGAATTTAAATAGGGGCATTATTGTTGATAGTACTCCTTCCAGTTTGATTACCACGGCGCTTGGGTAAGCAAGGTTTACTCTTCTGGATATCTGTTACTACTGTTCATCATGTATTTCGTTCATTGTCCATTTGCTGATTAAACTATTTTGACGATACCGTTTTTTACGACTTCGAATTGAAAAGTCAACGGAAGAACGATCTAAGTCACATTTTTTTCTTTTCGCATAAAAGGCAAAACAGACTTTTGGACGAGAATGCTTGACGCGAACAGAACAACGAGTGGGTTTAATTACAATACGAATCATAATTACCAGTACAACAACTGACTTCCACTTTTCAGCCAAATTAAGGTCAAATAAATACGACGGACGTGTATTTGTCCGAGGGGCCATTTCAGAAGGGCCTTGGTTCGATGTGACTCCGATAGTTTTTACCTAAAATTCATTGTTCAATAGAAAGCTTGGACATTTTGCTACCAGATGGGGCCATTAACTGGGGTTCGTTGAAAAAATGACTTAGATCGTTCTTCCCCGGGGCTCTCAATTGTGTGTAATGGTCTGGATTGTTAGTTCTTGTTGTGTGACTATATAATAAAGATTATTACAGGTGTGACTATAATAAAAATTATTACAGGTGACTATAATAAAGATTATTACAGGTGTGACTATAATAAAGATTATTACAGGTGTGACTATAATAAAGATTATTACAGGTGATTATAATAAAGATTATTACAGGCGTGACTATTACAGGTAATAAAGATTATTACAGGTGTGACTATAATAAAGATTATTACAGGTGGGACTATAAAAAACCTTATTACCTGAGTATGACAGAAGACATATTCTTTATGTTCAGTTTCATTAGAACACTGAATAAGATTACCAGTTAGTTTAACTGGACGAGTTGTCCTAAACTTCAGCTCTATCTGATTATCGGGAACATCCACCTCAGGGTTGTTGTGACTCAACGTCGATAGCCCAAACTCACTAAATTTAGGCTGGGCACCCAAGTATCCGTAGGGTAGTTCCGGTTTTCCAGACATCTTTACTAGTAGACTACACTACAACACACACCTGGAAGATAGAAAGACGGAGTTAAAAATATGATGAATAAATTTCATGACGATAATAGATGGTTTGACATGGAAGAGAAATGGGGTTTAATATCATCTGAAAAGCTAGACGATTTATTCTCGTCGAAGTACCTTCTAGAGCCCGAGAGGGTCCACAACCGTACAGACTTATCGAAATATTTGTGATAATTGTGATTTTTGTGATATAAACATAAATTTAAAGTTTCATCAAAACCAGATCAAAATTGTGACCTCTAGAGTGTCCACAACTTTGACATACCATACTTTTACACTATTTGCATTTGAGGAGCTGCCATTTTATCGGGCAGTTCGGTACGATTTTAACGAAATTCGAACCCAACTGTGATATATTTGAACGATTTTTTAAATCCGATAAGAGTATAGCGCAGCGTTGCTGTCTGGAAAACAACCTGCATCAACTAAATATGTAGTCCAAGATTAGTGTAATAAACGAAATTATATTATACACTGGAAATAAGATAAAACTGGCTATCACTTTGGACAACTGTTTTGTTTGTCTGTCACAGTATGGATCAGACTGAAACTAAGACTCAAACACGCATAAAACACTGCATTATGGATGTCCATAATACATCTTGTACAACAATCTGAGTAAAATATTATACATCTATATTTCGTTTCGTTTTTTATACTTTCAATGGCCTCTACTACATGACGATCTGACCGGTTGTACTGGAAGGTCGTGTCAGGGATCATACGAGCGACTTTTAAACCTATGACGACCGACAATCAGCGTTGACGTTTTAGAGGTTTAGCCACAGTTCCTTGCAGAGCACGCCAAGAACTCGACGTAACATACCGTTTCATTGGCCAATTCCTAACATCAACTCTTCCAGATCTGAGTGTTGTGAAGTCACATAAAACGAAATTTTGAACTATAAAAAACGAAACAAAATAGGATCTGTGTTTTAATCGGATTGCTTGTAAAATACACTTGACGCCACATTAAAGAGATTACTTGAAAATATGAAAGAGATTACTTGAAAACATTAAGAGATTACTTGCCCGGAAAACGTGCTATATTATGTATAATAAACCAGTGTTTTATTGTGGTCAGTGGCGAAATATTACTCCGGGACTACACTTGATACACAACAACTTGTAAAATACACGAGATTTACCTACAAACTTGGCAGGCTGAAACCAAGGGCTTCCAGATCCAGGGTTCAAGGTGTATAATAAATTTGACACGGTCATATTCTTACACACTCGTTAGTCTCAATTATACTTCACCATCTCCCGCTTCGCTCAGTTGTATTGAAAACACGGTATCATCTACCTCTAGTCGTGAGGGACGGGAACTTGTGTGAAATAGTTTTATTTAACATCCGACTTCACCGAATTGATATCAACAACAAGTGGAAGTTAAGTGGGAGGAGCCTCATTAGTACAATAGCCAATGACAACTCTTTATCTAAATGTTTGATATCCGTTATTAAGGATTGATCAAACAAGTGGACGGTGGGTGGGAGGAGCCTCATTTGTAAAATAGCCTATGTCCGCTCTTTATCTAAATCCGGCAATGTTTAATATCCGTTATTACACATACACACCACATTTCAGACATTGTCAGCTATCACTTAATCTAATGATAGTGGTTCGTCTCGACTTCTAATGATGGATTATATCTATCTAATGACCATGATCTCCTGACTTCACTGATCAGTTTTATACTTTAAACATCCAAATCATTGTAAGTAATCAATTTCCTATTTCTTATCTCCTTCATAATCTCTAAATCTCTCTCAAAAATGTTGGGATAATGTGAACGACTTTAGACATATTAACTAATATTGTCATTAATTAAAATACAGATATGACGTCATTCTTTGATGTTGACGTAACAGTATTTCACACAATGTACGGACAACGTGTCAATTATAAATTATAAATTATTTGTACTTAGATGAAATATTAGATTCGGGTGACGATTTCATTGACATGCAGTTGCATGTATCTGTATTTTAAATTGTTTAAGGATCTCAAGCAAGACATTGTGTTATATATTGAAGCAACACCGGACTAATGATCCAGTGGGCATTATAGTAGTTAATTTCTTGCCCCCCCCCCCCCCGACAGTTATACCACACATAGACTAAAAACAGTACCAGCAATATAATTTTGTGAACAACTGAATCGATTTCCTCGAATTTGTATTTTGACCACTGGATTAGCGTTGATGGGGTTTGTATTTATAAATATTGTTGGTAGTGCGGTCTATTGACATACAATATCAATACGGAGAGAGAGAGAGAGAGAGAGAGAGAGAGACGGGTTTAACGTTCACTCGACACAAACTAGGTCATTTCGAGACTAACACATGGTTCAATTTTATTTCAATAATTCGCTTGCGAGTATAGTCTTTAGCAGTGGGCGGAAACCGGGCGACCGGGAGAGAGAGAGTGTGAGAGATTGAGACATGGGTTAACGTCCACTCGATACAAACTAGGTCATTTCGGGACTAAACGACGGTTCAATTTTACTTCAATAATTCGCTTGCGCGTAGGGATTTTAGCAGTGGGGGAAACCGGACGACCCGGAGAAAACCCACGAGGTTGGACAGGTGGTATCAATACGGACACAGGCACATTATACAAATCAGCATACCGTCCCTCATCGAGTTAGCTAGGAATGGACTTCCTTGTATTTATAGCCCCCCCCCCCAACACTTATTTATAGCCCCTCCCAACACCTATTTGCACGGCGAACTTTGTTGATTGCTTAGCATAGCATCAAGGGTTTTTCGTCAAGTATGTACGGCCTACACGGGACATGTGTTTTCGTCCCATCCGATCGACTATACACTGTTCCTTGCTGTTGATTTAGCGCCTTACTCATTGACGCACCATGGCTTTCTAATCATCTCGACCTGGTTCCATCTTACCTGTAGATATTTACATTTGGTAGACTGTATTAGTATTACAGTGTCTGCTTATACCAGGTGAGTTGATGTTTATAAAATCTGGGTGGTCGAGTGGCCGCAAGTGTTGTCTGTTGAAACGACGAATTCAACTCAGTTATTTAAATGATTCTGGAACTAGAACTGTCTGGCGTTTCTACACAGTGTATGCTTCTCCTCCTCTTTAACTTCTGATGGGACTCATAATGCTAATAGTAATGACTCGTCACGAACCACCAAATATTTTCCTTTAAATTCCAATCTCTTCGTAAAGTTTGCTTATGATAAATGGAAATTTTGTCATGCAAAAACGCCACAGAGAGAGAGAGAGAGAGAGAGAGAGAGAGAGAGAGTATGATACAATCTATGTTGAGCTAAGAAAACGCCTTTATACAAGATGCTGTACAACGTATCACGTTACACGTGCATCGTATATCTGTCTAAAACACTCGCCAAATATAAACTATTTTAATGTAACGACTTATGGTTTTATATATTATTCACAAAAATTCTATTTTAATGTAACGACTTATGGATTTATATATTATTCACAAAAAATCTATTTTAATGTAACGACTTATGGTTTCATATACCATTAAAAACCTACTTGAATGTAATGACATATACTATTAAAATAAACTATTTTAATGTGAAGACTTCTATCTAGAAATTAAAGTAAATTTAAATATTGAACGTAAATCATTAGATATATATACCTATATTGATATGTGCTTTTAGACTCATGCTGATCTATATTAATGTTTCAGAGAATACAGCTTTAAGCCATTAATTATATTCAGCGTGGTTGTTTTATCAATAACAATACTGCTAATATAACGTAGTTGTTTCACAACCAGACTCAAAGGTTTTCCAAATATTAGCTATCATACACGAAGAGTTCATACATCACACAGCCAAGAAACATATATAACTATTAAACATCAATTATATATGGAACTTATATTAACAGATCATCTTTCAAGATGTTTTATAGATTATCTCCTCTCTAGTTCTTGTCTTCAATGTGGTTTTGTATTTATGTTATAAAGGAAGTGTCATCGTTTGCTGTGTGTGTTTTACTTGATGAAGAATGAACAGAACGGCTGGAGTTTAAGCTATGTTTTGGTTTAAACCGTCGACTATTAGTTATATCTCAACATGGGGGAAGGGGGGCTGGTTCGCTCACCAGAAGAACAAGGGATTGCCCCCCCCCCCCACACACACACACACACTTTGGTAAGGGCTCCTCGAGATTTTCCGGTATCGTTTCATCTTGTCAGTCTCGGAGGACTGGTAGGAAATAGCGTCTGGGATGAAAAACCGAGGACCCGTGTACACGTTGACGTGCACGTAAAAGAATCCTTGGCAGTTGGAATAAGAATTTCGATATAAGAGTAGGTCGTAGCGCAACTATCCTGGTACAATTTCCCTCATAGCACACTGCATGGTGTATGTCTGTCTTCATTAGCCCAGTCGGAGCAGAACAGTAGGACATTAAACCCCGTTTCATTTCATTTTGTTATCTACATCAACTTAAATTTCAACAATTTACAGAAACAAACTCAATCAAATATTTTTAATCGATATACTTTGAGGTAAAACTATTGTGTTTTCATCTTGGTCTGGAATATTATAGACCTTTGTAGATGCACTATGTAAGATTTAGATAAAGAACTGACCGTTCAAAACTAGATAATGAAAAAATGAATATATTGAAAAAATTCCCTTCAAATTACTTTATTCTGAAAGAAATTATCATTGTTTAAAGATGTCGCATAGATTGTTTAGTATCGTAGCAACGGTACTTGTTAATCGAGACTTTATTCGCCATTTTTAATTTAAATCATTAAATGGTGACTGTGTTTCAATCTGATTCAATCTCCACCATTCGATGGTCTAGATAGTTAATTATAGGCTTGTCATGTGAACAAATGTCCAAATAATATTTTGTATAACTTTTAAAGCCAAAAGAGAGAGAGAGAAATGGGGTTTAACGTCCACTCGACACAAACTAGGTCATTTCGGGACTAACATATGGTTTAATTTTATTTACATAATTC